TCACAGCGGGAGCATGCCTCTTGTATCCGAGTAAATGTCTCGGTGCACGCGCATGTCGCGAAATCGCCTCCGTCAAGGCCCGCGCATGTCTGTTGAATTGGATGAAATCATAAGATTTGCAAGGGAGGTCGCGTACAGTGCTGAGATAAGTATTGGATGATTCGCAGACGGAATTGCATGGATCCGGGGGTTGAGTAGAATCTGCGACTGCCCGGAGCTGGACCGCGGACGTTCTACCTAGAGAGGCTGCCGACACTGAGGAATATTGTCAGCATTAGGCAAGTAAGGGTGCGAGGGAGAAATCCACCAGAGAGCTGAAGGAACACGAACGGAAAAAAGACAGATGCGGAAAAGCCTAGCTTGACCATTGTAGAAACAAAACCCGGATGCCAAGGGGGAAAAAAGAGGAAAGAGAAAAGCCGGCAGCCTGTCTCGCAGGAGAAGAAAGGAGTGGGAATGAAGTTTCTACGGACGCATGCTACGTTATATGAGCTGTATCCCGGCTGTGAGGTGCGGGATGAGAACAAAACGTGTGGAACAGTGACAGGACCTGCGGAACATCGTGATTAGTCGATTGGCGAGTCATTCCGGTGGTCGATGACCGTCCTATTTTGACTAAGTATATGGATAGTACAAGCATGAAAACGAACCAGTGCTCCAAAACCGACGATATTATAGAGGGCCGAGAAGATGGGTATGGGCAGATATCTGGTTCACCGTTCAACAAAGCTTACAGATTCGGTGTGAAATTCTGGGGTGCTAGCGAAATGAGCGCCGTCGCAGGTTCATCAGCGCTGGGGGAAGGCATCAGCATGATTCGCATATATCCTTTTATCCTTGCTATGGAAGAAGGGACCGTCGGCGGGTCAACATCTAGTATTGCGTAAATTTGCCGTAGATGTGCGCCGTGCCGAGTGAATTATATTTTTCAGGAGCTGCGGGGCCAGCACGTCGTCCTCTTCTGTGTCTGGCGTCAATTGCACCTTGCAGGAGGCGGCAACAGATTTAAGACTTACCCCGACGCAGCTGCCTCCGTGATCTCGTAATCCGGGAAGGCATCCGACCTTCGGGTAGGCGGCATCTAAATATCTCCATAAACATACTTACCTGCGCGATCTCCGAGCCACCGCTTTTTTAATTCAGGCGCCCCGGGCGACGAGCGCGTCGCAGTCGGAGCAGATTCCGAGACAGCAGGCAGAGCAAAAATGGCGGGGACCCCAAGATCGCCTAGACTACTACTTACCGCATGGTGGTATCTAGTCCGGCACTTGCGCTCTAGTCCGCGAGTACCTGAAGCAGAAGCCCAATCGAGGGAGACTTGGAGCCGCGTCGAAAATAGCGGGAAGGTCCGTAAAGCGGTACATCCGCGATTGCGTGGGTGCTTCGATCTAGATATGGGGGTGGTTGTGGCCGTGGCCGAGGACGAATCCGTCGCCGTCGCCAGCGACGCGTCGGTTTTGAGGGGTACTCGCGCGAGGACCGGCGCAGATCTGGGTCTAAATCCAGATAGCAAAACCGGAACCGAAACCGACGGTGAATGTGGGTTAGTGTGCTGCTCATCGACCCAGGAGGAGAGCCGCGCGTCCAAAATAGCGAGTGCGTCCTGCGCCGGAATCACAGGAATGCGCAGGATAGCAGCAGTCTCGAGTCTGAGTCTAGATTCAACTCCCGAAACCAGAGCGACCTCAACTTGAGCCCAGAGGAAACAGGTCCGCGACAAAGTATACAGGGCCCTGGGGAACGAGGGCGGGGCCGAGAACGACTTGGAGGAGGGGAACGGATTAGCACTTGCGATTGCGAGAGACCGCCTGAGGAGAGCGCGATATGCACAGCCCGACCAGACGAATTCGTTGAGAGGGCGCAGCTTCAGAACCAGATACATACCGAAAGCCGCCGAAGGCGAATGTGGGAGCCAAAATACAGTAGCCATTCAGGCGCCCAAACATAGTCCCGGTGGATCGAGAGACAGGTCTACGAATAGCCGCAGCAAATCATAGCTGCAGCCACCAGTCCGGCGCTAGATTCGATACCCTGGGCCCGCTGCAACACAAAAGGCGCGATGCAGACATTGCAAAAGAAGTTTGGGATCAAGCGCCCGGCGCGGTGATGCCATCAACATCAAATCCCAATCCGTCCAATCCCAATCCGTATCCTCAAGAAGAATCATATAGCGGTCTTTATATGCTACAACGAGTGTGTGGTACATTAGTATAGGGGTGTATGATATGCTACATGAACGAGTGGATACAAAGCAAGCAAAGCAAAGCAAGGACGAGGACGAGGACAAAGCAAGATCGAGGGACAAGAAAGCGATAGACAGCGCGGGGACGTAGGATGCGGGACCGCGGAAGAAGCATCACGCGAACGCGGGTGTCTGACTCCGCGAGCGCGACGAACCGGGTCGGGACGCGGAGGCGGAGGAAGAGGAAGTGGACGAGGACGCGCGCACCCCGCCGAGGCCGAGCCCGAGGGTGATGACGAGCACGTCCGCGGGCGTCAGGCGCCGCGCGCGCTTCGTCGCGCCCGCCCGATCCTTCCCCGCTGCGCCCTCCCTGGACCCGGAGGCGCCGGAGGACTTCGACTTGGGGGGAGAGGGGGAAGGTGAAGGGGAGGGAGAGCGGAAGTAGCGCCGCAGCGCGAACCCCGAGGGGGCGGGGGAATGGACGTGCTCGGAGGAGAAGGACCAGCGCGAGCGGGGGCCGCTCTGCTCTTTAGGTGGCGGCGTTGGAGGTGTGCACGCGTGAGCTGATTCCGTATCGGAGTCTGGTAGCGCGTACTCGATCGGCGAGGGCGCGTCGTCGTATTCTGAAATTGGGGACGGAGGTGCGGAGGGGCAGGGCGCGGGCGCGATCAGGGGCGAGAGTGGCGCTTCCTCGTCGCAGGGGCTGGTCAAAAACCACTCGTCGCGCGCCCAGTCCTTCCCGGACGCGCGGACGTCCTGCGGGACGGGGGTGGAGCTGCGGGGTGATGGGGAACGTGACGGTAAGGGTGCGGGCGCGGGACCAGAAAGGGAAAGGGCGGAGAGGAGGGGCGCATAGGCGCCGTAGTCGCCGCTGAGCGCGTCGGTGGGGAGGGGCGTGCGCGGGGGTGGGCGCGCGGGCTGGCGCGGGGTGGCAGGCTCCGCGTGTCCGGACGCAGGAGAGCCGGCGCACGAGGTAATAATCCGTGGCGGGGGTGGCGGGGGGGTGCGCGCGCGGATGCTGGAGGTCCGGCTGAGGCGCACAGAAGCTGGTGGGGCCGCGGGGAGGACCAGGGACTCGCGGCGCGCCCGCGAAGTCACTGGAGACGTGGGGAAGGACGGCGGCAGGCGCGGAGAGAGCGTAATGAACGCGCGCGCGTGCGCGGCATAGAACTCGTCGTCGTCCTCCAACGCCACTTGCGACGAAGGCAGTGGCGACACCGCCCGCTTGACGATCGTGAGCGGCTTGATGGTCTTGCACCGCGCGACGCACGAATGCGTAGCGCTCGTAGGGCTCGCCGCGGGCGTCGTCGGGGCGCTCGAGTCGCTGCCGCTGGTACTTGAGCTTGAACTCCCACTCCCACTTGCGGTGGAATCGTCGTCGAACGGCGGGGGCCGCGGAAAGTCAAAGGTATCCGGCGAGCCGGGGAGCGTAAGGCGCCAGTCCGCGGGGTCGCTGCTGAGGAAGAACTGTGACGTGCGGGGGATGCGCAGGTCCGAGACGCCGAGCCGCCGTTTGGCCTTGACGCTGCCGGTGCTGCGATTCTGGTGCGACTGCGCATGCGCAGCCTCTTCCGCGATTGCGTTCATAAATCCGGCGTTTTTCTGAGACTGGCGGTGGATGTTTGAAGATACTACTTCCTTGTAAATCCAGCCCGCACGAGAGCGCAGGAAACTCACAGCTCATGTCGTGAAAAGAGGGTCGTTGCGGGGGAAAATCGTGAGGTCGTGCAGGGCACGAGAGGTGTAAGAGAAGAGAACAAGGGCGAGAAGGAATGCATCGTCGAGAAGGCCGCGCGGCTTTATACGGTGGCGGCGGAAGCAAGGTACTTTCTGAGCAGAAGGGCGTCCTTGTCCAAAACGGGTCAGCCAAATCAAGAACGATGTGATCGGCGGCGGCCGCAGCGGCTGCCGGACTGTTCCGACGCGGCATGTTCGAATTTTGCTCTGGACTTTCACCACCGGGCCTGGGGGAGAACAAAGAGTTCTCTGGCCTGCTCTAATTTCCTGAACTCGGACGATAAATCCCTGGCTTCAACGCGTCTCTCAGGCACAGCGTGCGTCGTGCGTCGTGCCCGCCTAATTCCCGCCTTCTCGCCTCTTCTTGTCTCGCGTGCTCGCGCCAATCATAACTCCCCTCTTCTCGGTGCCTCGCTTTCGCCCCTTCGGAAGTTCGGAGTGTGCTCCCTTTCGCTCTTCCCGGCCCTACCAGGGACCACGCTCCGCATGTATCCGCGTGCTGTTGCTCCGCCACTTATGGTGGTACGCATGCAGGTAGAGAACTCGGACGTGGTGTACGGAACACCCTCTCTCTGGCTACCCGTATTTCGTGAGCGTTTCGATGCGAGTGCCCGGGGTTCGACTCCCCGCGTCTGACTCTGCATTGTCTGTAAGTCCTTTTTTGGAGCACCACTCACTTTCAAAAGGCAATTGGACCGGGACGCAAAGACAGGTAAGGAACTCGAATGTAGTGTACGGAACACACTCGCTCTTCCTACTTATTTGTCTTGTAAATAATACACAACGAGTACCCGGGGTTCGACTCCCCGCGTCTGACTCTGCCTGCATTCAGCGAGTTTTTTTTTTGAGCACCACCCGCCGTCGAAGGGTGTTATTGGGGTGCGAAGTACGTAAAAAAATCGGACGTGGTGTACGGAACACCCTCTCTCTTGCTACGTTTTCGCACAATAATACACCGCGAGTGCCCGGGGTTCGACTTAGACTCCCCGCATCTGACTCCAAAATCTTCGTAAATCCTTTTCTGAAGCACCGCTCGCTTTCAAAAGGCAATTGTAGCAGGATGTAAGTACAGGCAAGGAACTCGGACGTGGTGTACGGAGCACACTCGCTCTTGCTATAAGGCATCGAAAGAATGCAGCGAGTGCTCGGGGTTCGACTCCCCGCGTCTGAACTCGTGTGCGACTCTATTGCTCGTTTTTTTTGTTGCGCTACCGCTCACCTCTCGTAGAGGCTATTCTACTGCGATGCGAATACAGGTAATGAACTCGGACGTGGTGTAGGGAACACCCTCGCTCTTGCTACGTGGGACTTGACCAGTGTAACAAGTGCCGGGGTTCGACTCCCCGCGTCCGAGTCTGAATTTCTTGAAGAAGCTTTCTTTTTGATCCTCCACGTTGACATTTACCCAACGACCACAGTTTAAGATAGGGAAGTAAGATTGGCGATCCGGCGAGGAGCCGCGGGGTTGGACTCCCGGCAACCACTGGCAGGACTTCACCACTGAAATACTGTAGATCCCATGAGTTCCCGGCCCTGTCAATCAGGTTCATTTCCTTCAACTCCATCGCGAGAAAAATGATGTCTGGCTGATGACACATGCGTGTCTAGTCTCCTTAGTCGGATCAACTATCAAGATTTTTTTAATTCGGAGGGGGGTAGGTAGGTAGGTAGCATTACACGGCACGGTCCAACTCATGAACACCGGGGAAAACACCTGATAATGCGTGTCAGGAACTAGCGAGGTGTGTTCCCTATCAGTCCCTTATTAACGTCCGCTGCATCTTGATGCCCGTGCCTCGCATTTTCCACTCCTAATATGGAATGTATCTAATGAATGGAGCTGAATACATCGGTAAGGACTCAGACGTAGTGTACGGAACACCCGTTCCAGGATTCAACTCTAATTCGCGCTGTTCGATATTCTTCCCTTGCGCATCTCATTGAATCTCCGTTACTGCAATGAAATCACTCAGATACTAGTCAGGACGTCAGACGTGCTGAGGAGATTGGAGCATATTCATCTGGGAAGGAACCCTGATTGGCATCCCCGCATCTAAATTCACAGATCTCAACCGGCACACTGAAATGTATATAATGGAAGGGGCTTCATATGGTACGGAACCCAGCCAAGCTTCAGGGAATCCTTCGCAATCCAATCGCAATCCATGATTTTCTCAAGCTTTCACAGGAGTGCCGGATATTTAGGGGATACCCGCCAGTAGAAAAGTGGCCTTCCTGAATTTAGCCCGCGTCCTCTACAGTGTAAAAATGCCGCCAAAAAAAAAGCATGGCTTCAACTGTTGTGTTTCGAACACATTTCAGTCCAATCTCAAACAAATTCTATTCCTCTAATAAAGGTTACAAAATCGGCGGGACTTGTACTACTGAAAAAAGCTTCTATTTCAGGCCGCCTTCTGTGCAACTCGATAGCCGGGCGTTCGATTAGCACCTAGGCTGTGGCGATAACCGGTGTGAGTCCGAATCAGGAAGTGTCAAAGCGCGTTCTCTGAAGCGTCGACCCGTCCACGACCACGCGCAAACAATAATACGAGACACAGTGACTTGGAAGGGGTAAAATATATGTTATATATCACCAGAAAGCTACGATGGCGGGCTTTCTGGCCTGATTTTTATAATCTCGCGATTCGACTTCTAATATTAAAGGGGCACAAGTATACCGGATTTTTTGAGATTCCGGGGAAGCCAGGAACTTCCGTGACACTGAAAAGTCAATAATGCGCGGCTTGGGATGAAATTCTGGGAGCCTGGAGCCAGTAATAGTCCATAACAGCTAGACATGTTGGATTTAGCAGAAATCGACGTCACACGCTGCTGGAGGGACCAACCCCCCCAGATTTCCACGAGAAAATCGCCTGTCCCTGAGGCTGCCGCCGCTGTGGCGATGATTTCCCCCTGTATTATCGGCATAGGGGGATGGGGGGGATGCATACTCCTGAAGCAGTAGTTCGGATTTTCCCCCCACTCATCTAAAAAAAAAGTACGGAACGCGAATTATTGGAGGGGGCAGACTGAATTTTTGCACTATCCGGGGAAACGCGAAGCCGATATACCTAGGCGGAGGCCACCCTAACCCCAGCGCAGACATCTTCATGACATGCGCAATGAAATCGAGCGCCTCGCCATCGCAGGCTCCCTTATAATCAAGTAATCTGCGAGGACATTCAATGCTCGTGCTCTGTGAACTTATTTCCTTGCTGGAGCCAGGGTGAAGCTATACTGTAGCTTTCACCTCTGTTATATAAGGGGTAATGAAACTATCCCACCTGTCCTTAACCTAAGTTAATTGAGGAAAAAAAGTCAGAATTCATGCGTAGCGGCAACGTAGCGGCCTCGCGATCCTCTGCACTGGATTAGCGGGCTGCAAACGACTGGATGCGTTTTGATGATCCAGATAGAATTGTTTCGTTCTCATTCAGCCTTCAGGTCGCCGTATCCTTTCGCTACATACAGGTAGAAAATGTAAAATCAAGCCGCCTCCACTGGCAAACCTGCGAGAGATTATGAGCTCAGTCACGGATGAAAAGGGGACACGAACGAAGTTGGTGTTTTGTAATAATGGCGATCAGCATCGATGGCGCCTTTCCCATCCCCTTCCTCTGCAGTGGCGGCAATGTCGCGAGAGCGCCCTCCACTTCGGATTTGATTGGGGACAAGAGGTAGCCATGAAATGCTCGTGAGAAGGCTGCAGCGAAGGTATCGGTTTGGGCGAACACCTGGCTAAAGGTTTGCTCAGCGCAGATGCAAAGCGCTGGAGAGGTTAATAATGATAGTGCAATCCCGATGTCAGATGATTCATACCGGCGATGACTGCGGCCAGTCTGGTGTGGATCCAGAGATTTTCCATCTGGTAATTTATGAAAGGGGGCAGTAGCAAGTACAGTACTTCACCAACCATAGGGGAACACTTTTGATTCAGGATGGCCACGATAGCTTCCATATTAGTTTCCTGAAAAGTCAAACTCGGTGAGTGGCGCGATGAGGTAGGCTTACAAACTAGGAGGTAGGACAAGATAAGTAACGGTTCCCGATTTGGTGAGGCGGGACTCACGTTCTGCGGGAGGAGGCGGCGGGGACGGCGTTGTCAGCGGCGCGCGGTGCGGGGCGAGGCGGGACTCACGGCCTGCGGGAGGACGCGGCAGGGACGGCGTTGTCAGCGGCGCGCGGTGCGGGGCGAGGCGGGACTCACGGCCTGCGGGAGGACGCGGCAGGGACGGCGTTGTCAGCGGCGCGCGATGCGGGGCGAGGCGGGACTCACGGGCTGCGGGAGGACGCGGCAGGGACGGCGTTGTCAGCGGCGCGCGGTGCGGGGCGAGGCGGGACTCACGGGCTGCGGGGGGAGGCGGCGGGGACGGCGTTGTCAGCGGCGCGCGATGCGGGGCGAGGCGGGACTCACGAGCTGCGGGGGGAGGCGGCAGGGACGGCGTTGTCAGCGGCGCGCGGTGCGGGGCGAGGCGGGACTCACGGGCTGCGGGGGGAGGCGGCGGGGACGGCGTTGTCAGCGGCGCGCGATGCGGGGCGAGGCGGGACTCACGCGCTGCGGAGGACGCGGCGGGGACGGCGTTGTCAGCGGCGCGCGATGCGGGGCGAGGCGGGACTCACGGCCTGCGGGGGGAGGCGGCGGGGACGGCGTTGTCAGCGGCGCGCGATGCGGGGCGAGGCGGGACTCACGAGCTGCGGGGGGAGGCGGCGGGGACGGCGTTGTCAGCGGCGCGCGATGCGGGGCGAGGCGGGACTCACGCGCTGCGGCGGGGACGGCGTTGTCAGCGGCGCGCGATGCGGGGCGAGGCGGGACTCACGCGCTGCGGGGGGACGCGGCAGGGACGGCGTTGTCAGCGGCGCGCGATGCGGGGCGAGGCGGGACTCACGCGCTGCGGGGGGACGCGGCGGGGACGGCGTTGTCAGCGGCGCGCGATGCGGGGCGAGGCGGGACTCACGGCCTGCGGGAGGACGCGGCAGGGACGGCGTTGTCAGCGGCGCGCGATGCGGGGCGAGGCGGGACTCACGAGCTGCGGGGGGAGGCGGCAGGGACGGCGTTGTCAGCGGCGCGCGGTGCGGGGCGAGGCGGGACTCACGAGCTGCGGGGGGAGGCGGCAGGGACGGCGTTGTCAGCGGCGCGCGGTGCGGGGCGAGGCGGGACTCACGGGCTGCGGGAGGAGGCGGCAGGGACGGCGTTGTCAGCGGCGCGCGGTGCGGGGCGAGGCGGGACTCACGCGCTGCGGGGGGAGGCGGCGGGGACGGCGTTGTCAGCGGCGCGCGATGCGGGGCGAGGCGGGACTCACGCGCTGCGGAGGACGCGGCGGGGACGGCGTTGTCAGCGGCGCGCGGTGCGGGGCGAGGCGGGACTCACGAGCTGCGGAGGACGCGGCGGGGACGGCGTTGTCAGCGGCGCGCGATGCGGGGCGAGGCGGGACTCACGGCCTGCGGGGGGAGGCGGCGGGGACGGCGTTGTCAGCGGCACGCGGTGCGGGGCGAGGCGGGACTCACGAGCTGCGGGGGGAGGCGGCGGGGACGGCGTTGTCAGCGGCGCGCGATGCGGGGCGAGGCGGGACTCACGGGCTGCGGAGGACGCGGCGGGGACGGCGTTGTCAGCGGCGCGTGGTGCGGGGCGAGGCGGGACTCACGGGCTGCGGGAGGACGCGGCAGGGACGGCGTTGTCAGCGGCGCGCGATGCGGGGCGAGGCGGGACTCACGTTCTGCGGGAGGAGGCGGCGGGGACGGCGTTGTCGGCGGCGCGCGGTGCGGGGCGAGGCGGGACTCACGTTCTGCGGGAGGACGCGGCGGGGACGGCGTTGTCGACGGCATTGTCAGCGGCGTATGGTGCGGGCGAGATAGGACAACCCCACATACTTCCTATGTCGATGTTTAAGGTACGCGTTCCCATCGTGCAATAATTCACCCACATACTGTCCATATATCGGAAGAGGCATGATTACAGATGACCTGAGCACTCACATTCTGTCCAGTTACGTCACCTCAACTCCAATATTCGGCTGATCCCATCACTCACCTCCGACTTTTGCACCCATGTCACTGTCAGTTGCCTTCAGCCAACGTGGATCAAACACTGACCCTCTGAATACCATTAAATCGCCCGTCAATGTACTTATACCAGTAAGCTCACCCAGACATGCGGAAACCATGCCAATGTGTGGCGCACAATGTCTAGCCCACAACGATCAAATATGGGTTGAATCGACCGTCTTTAGACTCACTGTCAAATTCGTGAACATTCTTGTCGATGACGCTATTTCAGCCCCTGTGAGTCATCCTGGAAATAGCAACGTGCCACGTACTGGCGGACCGCATAGTGTATGCACAGGTTAATGTTGGTCT